AATTTTGTCTCTAGTGTCTTTGGACAGCTCTTTGGTCTTGGCCATGTTAGTAGTTGGATTCTTACTGATTGTATGGGGTGGACAGGTGTCTTTATGCAGCTAACGACCTCAAACAGGTGCATCTAATTTAGGATAATAAATGGAGTGGAGGTGGACATTTTGAAGGCAGACTAACTTTGAGAGTCAGAATTCTAGCTGATAGACAGGTGTTCAAATACTTATTTGCAGCTGTATCATACAAATAAATAGTTAAAAAATCATACATTGTGATTTCTGGATTTTCTTTTTAGATTATGTCTCTCACAGTGGACATGCACCTACGATGACAATTTCAGACCCCTCCATGATTTCTAAGTGGGAGAACTTGCAAAATAGCAGGGTGTTCAAATACTTATTTTCCTCACTGTAGCTAAAGTGAAGAGATTGTTTTTTGCTAGTTATCTGGCTTCCCCGATCTCTACAGGTTGTGTTCAATAGCTTTGGGGCTAATTTTCAAAGACTGCACCCTGATTTTCTTTTCTTTGGGAATCTCTTATAAACCAGCAGCAGATGATCTCAGTGTTCATGAATGTGGAGGAGGACCTTGTGATCTCCAAGACTGACAGAACACTTAACAGTTTAACACAGTCATAAACACCAACCAACTTTTCAAGAGGATTTATTAAGATCATGATCAGTCGTATCAAACACTGCGCTTTGGTCTAAGAGGGCAAGAACAGAGACCTATTTTCATCGTTTCAGTCTGAGGTCACTGATTATTTTAGCAGAGCAGTGTCAGTGTTCTAAAGCCTGATTGAAATGCTGTAGCGAGGAGTTCCACTCAGTGACAGTCTTGCAGAGCTCAGTTAATGTAATACAGGTCAATGTTTCCATGGTTGCATCTTTCTGACAGAGTTTGCTGAGGTCTTTACATCAGCCATAGTGCTGCCTCTAATTGCAGGTATTTTGTTATTAAAGAACAACGTTCTTCACAACTTCAGAGAACTGCTGATGGGTGGGAGCAGCGTTGAGAAGCTGGCATTTTCTGTATATTCTTCTAAATGTAATCCTTGTAACCATGAAAGGATTCATTAACACTCTTACTTACAGAAGAGCTTCTGTCAGCCGACCTCTCTTTAAGCTTTAGTGGAGCAGCAGCATTTAAAGCAGTGCACAATGTGTTGTTGAAATGTTCAACCATGTCTTTTGAACAGCAGTTACAGCTGTTTGACGCAAGCAATCTCATAATATTAGAGAACTTTGCCTTACCATCTAGGATTCTCTGTTGAACAAGATATTGGCGTCCAAAAACACACACTGTGGGTCAGAAAGAGGTCATTCTAATACAGAAACATTGTCAGTGTTTAACCCTGGTAAGTCTATAAGGTTGCCATGCTGATGAGCGGAGCTGTCCAGTAAATTCACGAGCTCCTTTGCCTTGGAGTCATCCTAGAATATTCAGGTCTCCATTCAGGATTAATCATATCTGGTGATATCAAGTGAGGTGAGCTCTGAGAATTCCTGCAGTTACAGCGATGAATATCTTGGAGGCTGATATGTAATGCTGAGCACTAATAGTTCTGCTTTGAGCTCGGCAAGAGATTCAAATTATATAGATTCACCCAAGTCAATGTCATTTCACACAAATGGCAGACTGGCAGATTATAGATTACAGTTTGGTCTGGATCCATTAATGTTATGTACACTAACCACTTGATTAGAAGAAAATGGCAAAGAAGAAATATGGACACCAGATGAAATGTGGAGTGATTCACCCTGTCTGCATCTTCAATTTAAAGTATTTAGGCCATTTTGGTCATTTACAGTATGTATTAAATTGGTGTTAAAATATTTGTGACTTCTGGGGCTAATATTTAATATTTTTTTCCAACAAGGGTGGACTTGTGTTTGCGCCTTTGTTCGTGCTTTTTCAAGACCAAAGACCAAGAATCCCTGTTTCAGCTGTCAAGCTACTTTTTACTGAGATCATATACTGTATGTAAATACATTTTTTAATTCAACTTTCACAAAATACAGTGCAACAGTGAGACCACCTGGAATATTACAGTATAACTTGAAGCCTGTGCTCATTGTGTTTATGTTAGAGTTTTTGTGTGCATTGTTCATATTTACATACTTTTTCGAAGTAAACGTCATTGGGAAAATTCAGTACATTCTTTCAGCACATTCAGAGATGTTTTGGATTGCATCTGTGTGAAACAGCATTGGGACGTAACTTTCTAGAGTAGGGGTGGCCAAGCTTTTCTGACTGTGGGCCAGATACAGACAATTATAAGAAGTCACTGAAATTTTCAGCATTTCAGCATCTTTTTGGTTGCATCATGTTGAATCAGCTGAGGTAAGTGTTCATCAACTAATCCATCATTGTAGATCAGGTAGTCGTCGAAATGGTAGCACCTCTAATGATCTGACTAAGGAGTGCAAGGTAGATCCATTGAAATTCATTAGAAATAAGCTTGAGCTATATGCTAGTTTCTTTTAAAAGTTCACAACGGGGAAT